CAGATTACAGATTCTTATAATCCAACTTCCACCAAATAGTTACTGTTACACAAGTAGTTTTCGAATTTTCTGTCACCAATGGGATTCGAACTCTGGGCTTGTTACTTGAGGGGTGACAACCTAACCACTTTACTATGTCGCCACACCCTTATTGCTTATATGATTAATTCATTCCTAGATAATAGCGTCAAAACTTTTTAAAATAATCGTTTTAATGTTTAATATCTTTAACAGCTTATAAAAACTTAACACCATATTGTACCAATATAACTTTATTTTTAGAACAGTATTTTCGTTTGGAAAATGTAAAAGAAAACAATGCTATAAATAGCTATCGTTATATTGCTTTAACCTCAAGTAATTACGTATTAGGACCTGTGACTACTAGAATAATGATCATATATATATTGATGGATATTTATATACACATGATCGTATAATTGTTATCATGCCCTTCAAGTTGTATTTGTGAATCATGGTAAATAATAATCAGTTGTAAATAAGCAATAATTAATAACAATATATAAGGATAGATAATAGTTAAAAAATTCAAATTCTTACATAAATTATTACATTGCCTATTCCTAGACATAATCTAAATCAAACATAATACTATCATATTTGATATAATAGCAATAATTTCCTTGTATATTTTTATTGTAAATTTTATCAAAGTTCTTATAAATAAAAATATTTAAAAAATACTTTCATAAACTTATACAATTTATAAGAATTTTAGTATTTTAGTTTTTTTGGAATTGTTGTATTATTATTAAAATTGTAGCAAGTATATTAAAACTAGTTATTTTTAACCAGGCCTAAATACATTTATAGCCTCGATCTTTTTTGCACGAATCTATTTATTTTAAATTAGGATTAGCTATTATTCTTTTTAAAAAAATATAAACATATACTAAAGATTAATTATGATATAATAAAAATATCAGTTCTTTTCTTATCTATGTACTCAAGGTCGCATTTAAGATTACTACTGATAAGTTTTGCATAGCAAAAACAATCATCACCAGAGCATGCGCCCAAGGCCACTGCCAAAAATTACATGTTGGTTGAGGACATGAATAATCACTATCTCTGTCACAGTCACATTTTTCGCAAGTACATATTGCAGAAATACTCTTTCCAAGTCCATAAATATTTTTATTACAATTTTTGCATGTATAACAGTCACTACATTTATCAAAACCATTTCTGCCAGGACATCCATATTTACAATCAGCACACTTAACTTCAGCATTGAGAACTTTAGTGCATTTAGCACGAGCAAGTGCATTTTTGAACTTCAATTTTATTATCACATAGAAAATTTTGACATGCACGAACTTGATAGTTATATTTCACCAAATTATGATCAGAACTACCAATTAATAGACTTGCTACAGGTACTGCAACAATAATAAGGACATTTAACAAGAAGCTGAAATGCATTTTTCAATTTCAATTAATGTGACAGTGGCCGCTGCATACTTATATGTGCCTTTTTCTTCTAAAAAAGTAATAATTAAAGTTTTGTACCATTATCATTATTGTTTTTGGTTATACAGCACTGTGCCTTATATCTTTTTTGCACTAGATTGCAGATGGCGCAGTAGCTAATTTTCATAAAAACAGTGTTACACGAGTTTTAAGCTAAGGACTAAAATAAAATACGTTCAAACTGCTAATTGGATCCAGTGTTTTTACCAACTTACCTTAAAATCGATTCTGACAATACCGCGTAATTGTGCATGTTACAATACTTAGTGCTTGTCTTCTTTAGCATCTCGGAATTTAAGCTCATTAATCTTCTATTCAGGATATTGAGAATATGTAACTTACAATGTAACTTCAGTGTAAGTTATGTTATCAGATAAATTATTCAAACCTTATTTCGAATATTGAATACTATAGGTGCTGGTGAAATTAGAGTGGTGTGAAACTATTGTATTGGCTGTATTGGTAAAATTAATGTACACTATCTAATTTTGTATCAAAATATTCCAATTGCTTTGATTGAAAAATAGTTCAATGGTCTTCATTGCAACAAACAACAAAGTATATTTTGATATACTAAAAAGGAAATAATATTACTAATATCTTGTTAATCAGGAAATGTACTACTTTAATTTCTCAAAACAGCAGTCATGGAAATCTAAACGTCCATACCTGCTATTACAAGGCTTTACGGTCTATCGAACTCATATCTCAATAAAGACCTATATAGCAATTTTTTTGCACTATATTGATATATCTATAACAATTAATTTTCACAAAAGGTATGTTTTTGAATATATTTATTTTATTTGCAATAGTTTAAGCTATAAAAATCATACTTGATTAAGTTAATCTTTACGTTACAGATTTCTAGCATATTTTTACAAAAAATATAGGTTGTCGTTAATAGAAATCAAGCAGATTGACATTTTAGAAAAAAAATTTAATACCTTAATTTCCATAGCTCATATCTGATGAGTTTCAAAGCTATCTTAATGATTTAATAGTCAAAAGGAAGCTTAAGACTTAAGCCTTCTTTTGATTATTAAATTATTATAACAACTTTAAAATTCATCGAGATATGAGCTATCATTATATTGATCTACAACTTTTCTAGCTATTATTCATGCTTGAGACTTGTTTTTAGTGAAATAATGCAAAGAAAAAGGGGTAAACGATTTCGATATTAAGTATGTGATAGTTTTTTAATTTAAAAAAATGTCTCACGTTAAATTTGATATTGCTCAAAAGTCGCTGCGAAAAAATGGAAAGAATGGCAAAGGTTTTGAAGATAGAATTAGAATTATTTTTATAAACATGTATATAGAATTACGTAGATTTGAGTAAGTATTCACTGAGTCATTGTCTAGTTGTTATGTAGCTGAAGTTGCGCTGCCACTAGATGTAAATCATGAGAATGAAAGCTCATCATAACCATAATCATGTGGTCAACATGGTTATGACCATTCTTCTCATGTTATCGAAAAGTCATCTATGGAGTTTCTCTAGAGCTGTGGTGAATAGAATACATGAATCGAGAATTGAAAGCTCTTCATGCTCTAATCAAATATGATTATGAACATTCTTCTTGATTCATGACGATAATGAAGATAAATACTCAATTTTTTTTTTTTTTTGTTTAATCTAATTGACACACACCAGGCGACAGAGGTATCGATTAGATAGGAGGCTAAAAAGAATATACAATAATTATTCAATACAAGGTATAACAGGTAACATAGTAATGATCATTAATCAATTTTTTTTAATAATTAGCAATAGAAATTATTAATCAATTTTTTTTTTTTATAATAAGCAATAGTTAAATCGCAATGTCTCTTGAACAAATAAATAAAATATATTTATTAGTGTCAGTCTTCTCTTAATATATTTTTTAATGTTATTATCACTAATCATAAGAAAATTGATTAACAATCATTACTATACACATTCCAAAGATATATAATCTAATATAATCAATTTTAAATTTTATTTTATAACAATAAGGATTGTGATAAAATTAGGCCTAAGATAGTGCGTGAATTTGAAAGTGTATTGTCAAGATTTGGTAAAATGGAAACTATTGGTATCTTAATAGCTCCATCAAAGAATAATTTTACTAAGAAAGCATTAGATAGAGTGGAATCATCCAAATTCAATCTTATCCTTACGGATGAACAGTATTTGAGATTAGATTTGATTCAATTTGTTAAGAGTAAATGAATCAAATCAACTCAATGTAATGAAGAGTTGATTCTAGGACAAAATAAAAGCTCTAACAAATTTAGAATCATAAATATCATACTTTTATTATATATTTCTTTATTTTAACTTGTATATATTTTAAATTATAATTTTATTTGTATAATTTTTGATGACAATTTATATTTTGGAAGGATATTATCAATATCAAAATGAAAAATTTGAAAATTTTTATTCTCTGATCATTAAATAAAATCAATAAAAAGAATTTTGGCAGACTTAGAAATAGAAAGATTAAATAATTTAATCCAATCAATCCATCATTAACTGACAAGTAGTGCCAACAGTAACTTTGAAATTATTAAATCGAAATTTAAATTTCTCGATAAATTGGGATTAAATAAAGAGTAGGTGACATTTCTGGAGGAGATACCTATTCTATATTTAATTCATTTTATTTTATTTTTTTTAAAAAAAATTACTTCATTTTTAATATGTAATATAAAAGTTTTTTTTTATAAAATTTGCAAATCTTAAAAATAAAGTGCTAATTTTTGACTAGTCAAGTATAATTTTTAGTTATTTATCTATAAAATTTATCAAATTAAAATATCATTATTACTATTTAAAGATTAAAAACCTTTGTATTTTTTAAAAAATATTTGGAATTCTGATCTTTAACTATTGGTCTTAAATTGTTCAAGATCTGTTGTATAAGTATTTTTTCATTATTTGGCTTTAGTTACTCTATCAGCAAGATTCCTATCAATATCATATTGATAATCGTCATTAGTAGCATTAAAGTCTTACGTAAAAATTAAATTAGATTGTGTAAATGTTTATCTAGATCAAACTTTAAATGAAAAAAGTACATTATTCTTGTAAATTTCAATTTTAATTTATTTTCAATTTATAGTTCTATTTAATCGAAATGAAATTTTTATTACAATCATTGTTAACAAAGATGAGAAGATTGAACATTCTGTTATTAAAATTGTTATTTTGGTTTATTTTAGTGCTGTATCAGTATAGTAATAAATTGATAATCTAAAGTTATCAATTTCGTAGATTATTTCTTCTAATTCTCTAATTAATTAATGTAACTCAATTAATATAATTAAATTACAAAAACTGATATGATAGTTTTATAACTGCCAAAGATGCGATCCTTTATCTATAAGGTGGGAATTAAGTAGTTATTAGAGAAGTGACATTTATACTAAGTTTAATAATTAATTTCATTAGATCTTTTTATACTGAATTAAAAAAAATAATCGAAACAGCAAAATCTAATGATCTGACCTTGTTTGAAAAAATATATAATATTTTAGAAGCTGAGAAAAAAAAGAATAAAAGGTAGTTATTTATTATTAATATATATATTTTGTAATTTTTAATTTATTAATAAATTTTTTAGTTTAAATGATGAAGTTGAGAAGCTTAGAAGATAGAACAAAGAAAGAAGCAGTACGAAGTAGATCTTATAAAAATTCATGATGCACATCAAAACACGATGAGGATTAAATGAATTTAATAATTTACGAGATGAAAAAAATAATTTACAAACTGAAAATAATCACTTGGAAAATTGAATTGCAATTTTAGAAACTGGTATAAGATTGTTACAAGAAATGACAGGAGTTACGATAATGAATATTGATTAGGGATCTTTTTTTATTTTTTTTATAAAACGAATTATTAATTTTGGATTATTTCTGATAGAAATTTTCATAGAAATTTAGGTTAAATTTTTTGTGTTGATAATAAAAATAAATTTTTATGATTAAAAAAATTTTATTTGTACAATTTTTTAATATATAAGTAAATGTAAAAAATATTGCTAAACAATTTTGAGTTTTTATTAGATTTTTGTGTATATACCATATAAGCGCGAAATAACGCGCAGGGGCGTAATTTCGAATTTTGGCCTAAATTAAGCTTAACTCGGGCCATTATTCAAAATAACGCTTCTGCGCGTTATTTCACGCTTATAACGGTATATATAAAAAATATTCTCTTGGATTTTTTAAAAATGTACTAAATTTGGTACAAATTAGTAAATACAATCTATTAATATAAATTCAAACTAAATTTAGATTTAAATTCAACTTTTTGATAATTTAATACAGCAACTAGCAATCAACAAATATGTAAGCATTAGAAAACAAATCCTAAAGGTTGTATCTAAAAATAATGATAATATTTACCATCTATTGATTCAAAATTATATATAATTATTAGAAATGTTAATACTGATAATCAGATCTTATATATGAACTTATTACATTTATACTCACAAATTTAAACTATATGATATACTATCAATTGAATCTTCTAACGAACCTTCACTCGCAGCGACGTTAAAGACATCATTTACTTGATTACTATTTATTTCATTGGAATCTTTAAACTTATCATTTTTTATGTTGTTAAAATTCTCAGTTTTACTATCATTTGCGTTATTGGAATTTTCAGAGTTACTATCATTTACAATATTTGTAATATATTCGATACTTCTTTCTGCTTTGGACTTTTCATATTCACTATCTCTTGCACTATTTAAATCTTCAAATTTGCTATCATTTATATTATTTGTAATGTATTCAATAGTAACTTCTGCAAATAGCCTTTCAAGTTCAGATAAAACTTTATCTGATATTGGATACTGGCTTGGTTCAGAAGACCAGCATTTCTGGTAAAGAAAGTAATAATCTGAAGGTGTGCTTTTAATATATTTTTCTCTTATACCTCTAAATATCTCAAGAATTGTGGCAGTAAAGGGAAGTTTATAAAATGGTGGAACTCAACTTGTGAGTTCTCATAATAATACTCCAAGGCTATAAATGTCAGATTTTTCATCGAGTTTGTATTCATCTCCATGCATGAAGCATTGTAGATCTATATATGCTGGTGTACCTGCTATAAAGCTAGTTGAAGATTGATCGCTCAAACGCTTTGAGAGCTCAAAATCAGCAATTAAGACCTTGCTATTATTTAGTAAAACATTTCTAGAATGCTAAAATACTATCTAATAAGTAATTAAACATCATATTTGAAACAAACAAAAACGAACTCACCAAATTTCGATAAACAATATTATTTTTGTGCAAATAGTTTAGTCCATTTGTAATTTCTTTTGCAATTTGAATAAGTTCAATCCATGAGATTTTGTAAAGACCATCTATTTGTTTTTTTTGCAAATAATCCCACAGATTTCTATCATTAGCAAATTGCAATACCAACATGAAACCTTTTTCCTGATCTAGGTTCATATAATTATAGTTAGATTAGTTTATTATCAAACTATAACTTATTTTCGAATTAATCTTTGCACACCTATGGCGATACCATGGAATTTAACAATGTTAGAATGGACAACCAAATTAAGTAACTTAAGCTGCATGTATTATTTAAATATATTAGATTTGAATCTTAAATTTCAAACAACAGTTTAAATAATTATTAATTAAATACCTCATGATTAAATATTTTAACCGTTTTATTGTCCATACCAAGGTTTTTCTTTAAACACTTTAACGCATATTTGTTTTTTTGGAAAATGACTGAAAATACAACTGCGGATATCGTCAGGCCTTCTCAAGAATTCTTTCATACTGTTGTGTATGTGATACTACATTGGCAACACAAATTATATTGTAGAGAGAATGATATAGTTTTGGTTTTCTACATAAGGTGCTCATCATATGAGTCAACTATATGTTTTTTTTTGTTTTTTTTTATTTATATAATGCCATAGTAGAAACTTTATTACAATAAACCTAAATTAATCTAAAGATTAATAGTCTTCTTGTTATTAGAAAGACTTGGGTAAGGGGGCAGATAAGCCAATTAACCAGGCTGCCAAATTCCTTCAACTTCAGAACTAGCTAATAACAAAAAGATGTGGTTTTAGAAATTATTTCTATGGTAAAGATTTCTAACTACATTTGTGCTACAGAGCACCCAATGTGACATTACA